TACACAACCCGGTAGAGCGATGGATCTGATTGGAGATCTTTGGATCTTCCTTTCTCTGGCCTTAGGTACAGAAATACATAGCTTTCTCTTTCTTCCATGCATTGGAAAAGTTATGCTCCTTCCACACCCGATTATACAAAGTGAGAAAGGGTATTCAATGAAGGGCTCTGCTGACGCATCCTGAGGAAAGATGCTTCAGCATTTTGTAACTGATGTTATCTGGACGGGCAAGACTATGGTTCTGAATAAAGCCTCTTAAACGGGAAAATTACATTGTAGCTCTGAGTGGCAGAGTTGAATTAATGGTAAGATTTTCAGCATGTAGCTTCGCAAACATAAATGCTGGAGGATAACTGCAGCCATTAGACATGGCTGCAAAGGTTTTCCCAAGAAAGGAAGTATAATAGTAAATAACTATCTAAGATTGAAGTTTAATTTAATGAAAGGTTAATTTTCATATAATACTTTTTTATTATTATAATTTAAATGAAAAAGGCTACATGACTGAATGGAAGCATAAAATAAATAACTATTTCAGATCATTATTATAATTTTATATAAAATTGCTAACTAACTGAATGGATGCCTGCATCGCTATCGCTACCGACTTATCGCTAAAGCCATAATTTCATCTCGTTTGTGTTCAGCATAATTTTTCTATAATGAATATGCCTTTCCTTTTAAAAATATTCTCGTAAAGTGATTGCTCACTTATTTGTTTGCTGCTTTTTACAAAAAAACGATTGGATTTTTGTCAATTTTCTTTTACTTTAATTGAAAATAGGTCGATGTCTACATAGATAAAGCCAAGGGTGAGCGTAATGCCATTTTTGTGCAATTCTGTTATTTTTTTAAAGTGAAAATAGGTCGATGTGCACATGGATACAGACTATGTGCAATTCATAAAAATGTGTCAAACAGAGGATGATTCTGCACTTTACTCTAAATTCTATTGCCGACTTTTCGTCATGGGCAATTTCCAAATTGTTAAATCCATAGATATTAAAAAATGATATAAAAATTAAACTAGTATTTCAATGGCACCTTAAATATAGAACTATATAAGCTTATGCAATCTGAAATCAGCGCATACACTAGATTTGGCGCGCTGTTAAATGGGCGCGTTTGCTAGATTTGGCGGCTTTGCACATACATTTTCACTGCAATTTTTTACGGTCCTCAAAATGGAATAGTACCAAACAAACAAATAACTTGAATTTTGATTTTTATTAAAAAATAAAATTTGTTTCGTAAATAAATTTTTCTTTATAAGGTGGGTCGCGAAAAATGTTATAATCTCGTATTGGGCCATGGTAAAAAAGTTTGGGAAATGCTGGGCTACGAGATATAGTTTCAATTAGAAGATGACCCAGCGAAGCCGCTCGATGTTTTTGGGCTCACCAGCACAAGACTGTATAAGTTTTTGTATCAAAAATGGTGATTTTTTGGAATTTCACCTGTTGTGTTTATCAGAACTACAAAACGAGGCAATGATTTCACTTCTTGAGAATTTGCATTTACATTTGTTTTCAATTTTTTACTTTTTACTTGAAATGTTTTCAGGTGCATTATGTCGAGTTGAGTTTTCCACAATGATTTGGACCCAGCAGCCCCGCCCACTACGGAGTCCAACAAAGGGGACACAGAAACCTGCACCAATATACGCAAGCTGAAGCCCCCACAGTCAGCTCTCCCAAAAGCTTATCCCCAAGCCACTGGTCCTTAAGGACAAGTGACCAGCCAACTGACACTAGCAGGGACAACTAAGTGGCTCCTGTTTCAATCTGAAGCAGAGGCCAAAGCAGTGTGTTGGGGACAGTACCTCGCAATTCAACTACCAGGACCCTCCTTTCCAGCCTTACGGGTCACAACGCACGGCAAAAGCGTAGGTAGTTTTCTCTTTGTGGGAAATTCGAAACAAAGGACTATGACAGAATCTCACTTTGAGCCCGAATCTCCGAAAAGGAAAACCAGAAGAGCGGAAGAAATGAAAATAGTAGAGAGAAAGAGAAATGAAAAGGAAGGAAGGAAAGATCACTAAGGCATCCAGGATTGTGACCTCCATCTTACCAAGAAAGTGATCCCTCAGAGGGCTAGGGTATCTTGGGATTGCCACACCCGTACTCATAGAAAGTAAGCCCCCGAAAGGCACTAAACACAGAATACCTTCTGTTAAATGTTTTGTTTGGGAGCAAAAACCACAGAACCAGGAGACGACCAATAATGCTTTCTTTTGTGGTCATTGCTTAATATATACTACTTATATATATTACTGCAATATCTGGTCCAAGAATGGGGCTTTCTTGTGACATGACAGCAATGAAGAGGAAATGGTGAGCCACTGGAGTTCAGTTTTCTCAGTTGAAACATGACGAACCTACTTACTGAGCTTCTATGTCTTCCCAAGGTTGTGCAGATGCAATCGAATAACTTCCTCTGACACTCCAAACTTTTGTAAAAGTTCCTTGCAGGTTTGATGTAAATTATGCTTGATGTCCTCCTTCAACAGGACTTCATTAATAGTGGATAGATGCCTAATAATTATACTAGAAGCTTTTATCTGATACAAATCCACCAAACAATTTTCAAGCTGTGAGCTCACTTGCTGATGCCGCTCCAAACACGTTTCATATTTTCTGACAAATTCTACTGCACTGCTGATCAGTTTTAACTCCTAAAATAAGCACAGCCATAAATCATAATTCAACATTGACATGTTCACTTTGGAATTGCAGTTCCTACAAAACTGCTTTTGACACACCTCACAATTCTGCATTGCCTGTCAGCTGATAGGAATATCTGAAGTCATCCCAACAGGGTGACTGACACCTTCTGCTTGAATTTCACTTTTAGCTGTAGTGTTACAAATGTTTTCGGATACTTGAACTAGTTAAGAATAAGATTTAGCCCCTTATAGGTGTCACAAGTTAACACTTTAATAACATATGCAAATGGGAAACTTATATTAACTGCATAACAATTAAGTTACATTCATTGTGATGAAACTCAGAAATAGCAGCTTGCAAAGCATTTGCAAGTTTAGAATAATTCTCAAGTTTAACCGAATTACTATTTACAATTATTACTCAAAAAAGTAATCTGCTCTTATTTAAACAATAAATAGAAATAATTAGTAATTTCAATTATAATATAAAATAATGAAGTTAGGTTATTTAGATATGGGAAAGCACATAAAGGCTAACTGCCTAAGGGTACAGATGCTCTGGATTTTTCAAGGAAACCTGTCTTATATTCATAATGCAATAACTAACCAATCTGCATGTATATAATAATGAGAGCTGTATTAATATTATACTTTTAGTACTGTTCTACGCAATTGAAAGAAATTTTTATTTGCAATATATACTAAACAGTATTCAAATACACTCGCACATACTTAACAATGTTATGAAATTTGTTTAAAAATTTTCAATGGAAGATCCTTCCCTATTTAAATCATTGGTTCCTTCAGGAAAACAGACATATATAGCTGTTCTCATTCTTTTTATCAATTTTCTCAGTTTACATAGTGTACATGTTACAATCTTTCGTATTCCTCTCTTTAAAATTTCTACCTATGTGATTATTACTAGTGATCAAAATATGCCAGGATTTTTCTGTCGAGATCACTTGAATCATAAAAATGTCATTCCAGCCATGATTGCATATACCATAAAAATAAGAGTAAGGTAGTGCAATCACAGGAACACTACATAATTGCTTACAAAGCACATCTGAGGTATTTTAATGAAATAATACCTATTATAAGCATACTAATTAAAATTCTTACAAAAGAAACTATCACAAAGAACACATGCACCAGCTAAGAGCACTACTGCACCACTCAGACACTTCTCCTGCTACTAAGTTTTATGAAGTAAAAAACAAGTAAATACAAAACACCATTGTGAGAAATAGAAAACTAATTTTTCTCACTATTCATGTTATGTTAGTATTTAAATTAAGAATATGAAGACATATAAATAACCAAATGCCACGTAATATTATTGGAATTTATTTTAACAAAGACACTAACTTATGTCCCTGCTGTTAAAGCATTAAATATTCTTTAGTGTACAATTCATACAGCCATAACTGCATATTAAATAAAATTTAAATAACGCACCACGATGCTTCAAGTAATCTAAAATGTAATTATCACTCTATTTAGAATTAACTCTTCTCTTTGGTTGGATATGTAGCTGGTGTTCATGCATTTGATATTCAATAACTTTCATTAATTCACTGGATGTATTTTCCTGTTAGTTTAAAGAGTTACATTGCAATAACAATTTTATACACATGTGTAGATGCCACTACATAAAATTTAGTTAAAATTCGCACCACATATTTTTCAGTTCAAAATAAACACAACTAAGTGCAAGTAAGCATAACACTATTTTTTAGTTCTACCAACGTTAATTTAAATCTAATTACAAGGTTAAACAGGAGAGTGCCTAAAATATTACTATACAGATAAATGTTATACTTACCATAAATAAAAACTATAAGCTACACATTTTGAGGAATAATGCAGCAATCCATAATAGAGAATACAACATAAAAGCAACTCTTGAGATATGACAGGCAGTTTCCTTTAAAGTGAACATATATAGTATTTAAAGTGCGTTATGTATGTATATGGGAGTATACTAAAAGAATAGTTTACACGTACATTTTGCACTGTCATGTGATAAAGCTAAAGAAGAAAACGTGGCAATTAATATTTTCCTCTGACGACAGCATGCTCTAGCAGCCAGCAGTTATGGCTGAATGATTGCTCTTGATTGTTAACAGATTTTACAATTAAATAGTATCAAAATAGTGCCATCTTTACTCAGATAAAGACTGCAAGTTTCTACAACGAATCAAATAACGCATGTTTAAATACTTTTTAGTTTAATTCAGAAATATATTGTAGGAAAAAAATTGATTTATCATTACTAGCCAATAAATGGAATTTTTATGGAATATTAATGATGAAAGGAACTAAATCTTACCAAATATCTCCTTTTTGAAGAACTTTTTTCGAAATATTAGCAATTTCATTCTTTTGAGTTTCTAATTCAGGCACAATCGACGCACATTCCGCCATTTTGCCGAAAAAAGAAGCAGAATGCAGTTACAGATATAGTTAGTGCTTCTGAGACTAGACTGAGATAAATGCGAAAACCGTCTGCAGAATTCGCTGATATTGACCAATCAAGACACAGCTACTTTTCTGTAGCATAGATTAGGTATTTCGGTATTTTTAATTATGACCTAAAGGATGTGGCAACAGTATAGTAACGCGTAGACTGAGTTTTCCATGTGAATTTTATTTTTGTCTAAATTTATAAACATGTTTTGTTTTGTATCCGAATTTAAAGACTATTGCGCATAAATATGAATGAGGTAAAATGACACTGAAAACTATTTTAAAGAATTTCTTAAACTATGCAGACACGTTGGAGGCTCAAAAAAAACTAGGCAAGGATCTCTACGAAGTTGATTTTCAGGTATTTGCAAGTCTTTTAAAAGAATTTTCTGTCGTGCTCTCATTTTCCATTTAGTATGTGTTAAAATTTTGGAAAATTATATCAGTAATTATGTTATAAGTAGATAATAGCTGTGTACAAGAGCAATCGTTTATAAAAGTTGTTTCATTTGAAAGATTCGACTTATTCTGTTTATTTTTTTTATTTTTATTTATTTTATTTTATTTTTATTTATTTATTTATTTTTTTATTTTTTTATTATACATTTAGTCAAGAAGGTTTAGGGGCACAAGCAGCTTCCAGCCTTTTTATTGAAAAACAGTTAACATTTCATGTACTGCTTTATTTTTTCTTAATTTAAAGTTAGCTTCATACTGAGCAAAACATGTAAAACATTACAATAATACACTTAATTAAAAGATATGTACATTTTGTACTCTAAAAATGAAGTAAAAGTAAGACATTCCTGTAAAAAAGTAGTAGATAGCCAAATCAGAGAACACCTTTAAACTGTATTATGAAAGACACCGATTCTAATAATGCTATATTTTTATTTGCTAAACAAATTTCAAATCATAGATGGTAAACGACATTTTAATAAATTATCGAAATTTTATCATTTTATATAGTAATTCTACTGTAAAAATAACTTTGAAATGTTTAAAGACAACATCAGTGAAAAGGTATTTCATTGAACACAGAAGTGGATGGTAGGATATGTTTCTTTGCAGTTTTAAAATCAGTGTAATGATATTGCAGTTACTAAAAAATGCATTAGATATTTCAAATTGGTGGTGTTAAGCTGTAATGTGTGTTGTATTTAAATGAAGTATTTGAAGACAACTTTAGAATCCACTAAGCCATACATTAAGTGTCAGGAATAACAAAATGTTTCATCCCACCAGCGGCCCAGCCGTTGCTGAACACTGGGGTTGATCTTTACAATATGGTAACTGGTAATTTGGCGACATTTTGGAGGTGATAAAGTTTACTACCTGGGAATGTGAGCAGTACTCAGTTCCGATTACGCATTATTTTGCGTGAGGGATGAGAGATCATGGGTCTGTCATGTGATATTAATGGACGGGTTTAATCGATATCTTGTGACACGGATTTGGCGACTTTTATAGCAATAAAAACGGACATATACATGAGTAGAAACGGATCATTCAAGAATATATAGTCATGACTGTATATACTTTTACCCGATTTTTACTTGATTTGATATGTTACAGTTCATTTAATGTGATTTAACTTTTTTACAAAAATTTTTTGAAATTTAGACCATGTGAAGTAAGTGAATGATGAATTTTCCAGTATTTATGCCAAAGATTATTGCCAAAAAAGTTTTTATTAAAACTTCTGAAGTTCCTCATGATGTATTCGAAGTGAAATATATTAGATGTCTCACGATAGGTACTACTTAAAAGTGTGAAGATCCAAGATCCATACTTAGTATATAGTATATACATAGACGTTGTTTGGGTATATATATAGTGTATAGTATATACATAGACGTTGTTTGGGTATATATATAGTGTATAGTACATAGACGTTGTTTGGGTCATTTTTGGTGTTGGCGATAATTTTCAAAATCGCGCCAAGGCTGCACCGTATACTAGGATTTTACCAATGGACGAATTACGGTTCTTTAATCGGAAAAGGGGGGAAATCGGGAAAAAATGTGGAAATTTTGTATTTAGCTTTATTCTGTGTTGTGTGAAACAGTGTTGTTTTATTTTTGGATCCCATGGCCCTAACTAAAGTGAATTCGAAATGGGTATTTAGGCATTGTGATAAGGTAAAAAGGTGTGAAAGGGTAAATACTTTTTAGCGATCAGGTAATTTCATATATGTTCTTTTTACCGGGTTTTAAAGATGGAAAATTGTCATGTATTTTCGTGAAATTTGTCTAATTTATGAGAAAAAAGCAGTGTACACATGGATATAGTGGAAGAGTGTGCGCAATGCCATTTTTGTGCAATTCTGGGATTTTTTTAAGTAAAAATAAGTCGACGTGTACATGCTTAGTGATATTTTAATTAAATGATAGTTTATTTTGTGAATTTTATGTTTGTAGGAATTTGGTATATTTAAGTTGAAAATAAACGTGCATGGAAATAATTTAAATATTGATACTAAGTATTTTGTAATGCTTGCGGTATGAATTTGTTGGTGACGTGTATAATGTATAGATGATTTAGATGTAAAAGTTTTTGGATGTTTTATTTATTTTATATGTGGAAATGTTCATATTTGTAAAGGGTAAATACTTTTTCGCGATCAGGTAATTTCATAATATGTTCTTTTTACCGGGTTTAAAGATTGAGAAAATTGTCATGTATTTTCGTGAAATTTTTCTAATTTATGAGAAAAAAGCAGTGTACATGGATATAGTGAAGAGTGTGCGCAATGCCATTTTTGTGCAATTCTGGGATGTTTTTTTGGTTGATCTTTGGATTATGGTAACTTGGCGATATTTTGGCGAAAATTAGGTGACCAACTCTGCTACAGTAACACGAAGTAAAGACATGTTTCTTTTCTTTTTATTTACTGAACACTTTTTCCAACAATCTACTAGCCGAATTACACTTATGCTAGAAATTTTATCTAACAAAACTGCTTAATCATGACAAATATTCACTAAAAAATTGGGAAAAAGTGCACAATAGCAAACTCCTTGCGCGTTTTTCAGAATAACAGGGAAAACTCAGATAACCGGCATTTGGCGTAATTTTTTCCACCATCTTGAATCGGTGAAAATTGCCAAATCCTCGGAAGGATTTTTTTGACGCCAAGAGGGAAATGACGTGAAAAGACGCTTTACAAAATTTCCCTCTTGAGCCCGATATAGGGAAGAAACCCGTGCTAGGCGAAAATCGCCTGAGGCTAAATACAGTAACGAGTTTGCGTTATAAAAAGGTAAACAATGCACATAGAACTAATTTAGTTATTGATGTGGTGAAGTTAATCTTCATACTTTTTTCACCTTAGTATTTTAGATTATGATATATATAACTCCAACATTATTACTGTTTATACTTCTCTTTTTAATTCTGACCATTAATTTCTACAATTATCCACAATAATAGTTAAATATGTTTAAAAATATGGTCTTCATATAAATGCAGTAAAGATCATGCAAATGGAATATTTATCACGTAAGTAACGTTAAAAATTTTAAAAGATCAAATATACATGAATTTACTATTTTAAAAAAAATAAAACTTTCAGTTCACACATTACAAAAGAAATGTAATTCTGAATTGCATAACTGCAGGGAAACAAGATTTCGGGTTTTCATCCGCAGAGAACCCGTTGGCGCTTCGGGAAAGAACCCTTTGGCGCCGTTGCAGTTTTACTCAGGATGAGCCGAGCCGTAAGCGTGATATTTTGTAAACATGGTTTTTAGTGATGTAAATTCAAGTTAGCAGACAATGGTAGTAAAAATTCACAGATAATAAGTATGTAGATATAAACTAACAGGTTAAAAACTGATATACGAAAATAAATTTCTATTAATTCAAGTTAGCACAGAAAACATGTATTAAACATAACGAAGTAAAAATTCAATTTAAAAAATAACAATTAGTATTCTTATGCTTACGTTTACTATATACTTATATGTATTTTCTCTAATTCATATACCTAGAATACTAATATTTCTATTAGAAGTGTCTTTTTTCATTATTAAGTACTTTGCCTGTTGATACATAAAATTGATATATTTCAGTAAGAGCCATGCCCATGTAATAAATTAATGAATGCATGATCTTTCAATACATCCATTTTACATAGTTTTCAGTATTTTTTTTTTTCAAGTTACTTGCATATAGCTTAAAGCATTTTACTTTGAAACAAATATCTATCCTTTTTCATAATATATTTCACTATTGTGAAATATATTATGAAATGATGACCTTATATATATTATGAATCAAATTTTCTTCAGTAGCATTGTTAATAAAACTAGAACTTTATGCATTTAAAAATTATTATAGGGGTTGGAAACCTCATGGTTCTGCGTGCTTACAGCTGTTAATAATTAAGAACATAACGTGAACAGCCATGTTACAAATTAGCATTCACCCCTCCCGCCATAATTTCTTCCTTTGATCCCGAACTGACGACAAGAGAACCAGCATCTTTCGACGAAAACTTCTTTAATTATGCGAAAATATATCTATCTATTCATTGTTAAAAAATTCAGAAAAAATAATAATAAATAAGAGAAAAATAATATAAATCTCCAAATGCGAACAACGACAACCTTCGCATAAGCGAATAGGATGAATTAGCTAGGTTACCAGGTTTGAACTATTATCGCCAAAGTTGGCGATGTTTACATTTACCGGGTTCTCTGCGGAAGTGCTTCCAAGATTTCTAACAATATATTTCAGGAATATATTTCGGTTATGTATTTGTTGCAAATATGGTGATGCAAAAATTTCAATATTTATATTCATTGCCATTAAAAACTAACATGAGTAACAACACAGCAGAAAAATCTCTGAAGATAAATCTTATTCTCAAAGATTTGATGATATAATTTTAATTAACTTTTATTTGTTTTTCTGTGAAAGAATTTTGCTCAAGTTTTGTATAATAGTTTAAATTTTTTACTGAAACACTGAACTCCCCAAAATCTTCTATGTAAAGAAATCAGTGAAATATACTTGACTTAGAAAAGTAGCAAAATATTGTTTCTTTAATATTTTACATTAACTTATTAGCATTTCAAAGTCTTAAATTAAAAAATTGCTTGTATGATACAGAGTGTTTGTCAGCGAGATAGCAGTAAAAATGTTGCACACTAGTAGTTCGTCTAACGGATTTCCGTCATCTTAAGCAAATAACCGCAAGTGCTTTTCTCATTCTAAATAATTCGTGTTAGGAGTACAATTAATTTATTTTAGAAATTAATTCCTGTTTGTTAAGGCTAGATAAATAACACCCATATACTTAAATATTAAGTAAATAATTTTAAAAATGTGCCCATGCGAACGATAAGTTAGAAAAAA